TCTCTCTCTCTGTGTGTGTGTGTGTGTGTGTGTGTGTGTGTGTGTGTGTAGAGTTTTGCATATTGTTAGGTTGGATGTTTCTCTCCTCTAAGTTTTAGTTCTCATTTGTTCCCACCCGTTTTGCCTTTTATTTTATGTGAGTCTGCTGGCTGTGTTGTTGTGTTCGGCTGAATTCATGTTTCCCACTGCAGTATCTGGGGTGGGGAAGGACAGCAACCACAGCAGATCCAGTGGTTGGCAGGCATCCCTGCTTAACCTGCAGTGGAACAATTCTGCTTCACCTGTGGCCCCAGGATATCCCTGCTTAACTTGCAGTGGAACAATTCTGCTTCACCTGTGGCCCCAGGATGGTCCAGAGACAGTGGCCGTGGAGAGCCTTGTCTCCAGGTGGTCTCTTCCTAGGCAAGCCTTTAAGCAGGACCACACCCAGTTTAAGATGAAGATCTCATGTTCCTTTGAACCTGCAGAGAAGGTTCTTTGTCAGTCTGTTTACTCAGGGGATTTCCAGAAACTCAGCCACAGGCCCTGGCGTCCCATTTCTGCTTTCTCTCCACAGCCTGGGCTGCTTTGGCACTTCCACCCATGTTGTATTCAGACCCTGGACGTAGCTTGGTATGTCTTACATCTGTATACCCGAATATTCATTGTGTATTTAGGTTCTGTTCATAGAAGAGGCCAAGCCTTCTCTAGTTTTCTATGACGTTTTTATGAAAGCAATTTGGGTGGATTAGTTCCCTCCAAAGCATGACTAAGTGCCCATGGGCCTGGATCTCATGGATGCTACGGGGTTTGTACAAGGAACTTCCATTGTTTGTCTTGTGGACGGGGTCTTAAATGTGTCTGTGTCCATCCTGGTCCCTATGTGCTTCTCATAGCCTCTACCGAGGATCTTGATCTGGAAAGCCAGCCTTGGAATAAGGATTCCCTTGAGGGTATAGATTTCACCCTGCATTGATGAGCCTGTAAAGGAACCTGGGTGATTCGGGTTCCTCTGGGATGCTGTCCTGCCTTGATTAGCACCAGCACACAGCTCAGCTGAACGGGAACTTTTGGTCCACAGCCAGATCCAAGGTTCGCAGCACTGCTTCTTGTGTGCAAAGAAGGGTATTTGTAAAAGGTGAACGATCTATATGATCTGAAGGAAAAAAGAGTATGTGGGGATGGGTACAGGAGGGGTCAGGTTGGGGTGGGGAATGGAGGGGGAGAGTACTAGGAGAGACAACTGGAATTGGGAGCATGGCATTTCACAGGCAAGGTAGAAACCTAGTGCAATGGAAACTCCTAGGAATCTACAAGGGTGACCCCAGTAAAGACTCTTAGTAATGGGGTATACAGAGCCTCAACCAGCCTTCTATGTAATCAGGCAAGGCTGTCAGTGGAGGGATTGGGACACTAACCCAGCCCCAACATTTCCGGCCTACAATTTGTCCTGCCTGCAAGAAGTGCTGGGAGTAAAGCTGGTGCAGAACTTGTGAGTGATCAGCGTTGGTCCAGCGTGAGACCCATGCCACCAGAGGGAGCCCATGTCTGACACTGCTTGGAGAGCCAGGAAGCAGAGGCTGGACAACCCAGACAATTAGGATAAAACCAAACAGGAGCAAGAAAAAAAAAAGTCAATGAAATGATTGCTGATGATACCCGGCTCTACTCGTAGAACAGAGCCTAGCATAATCATCATTAGAGAGCCTTCACCTAGCAACTGATGGGAACAGATGCAGAGAGCCACAGCCAGACATTAGATGGAGTTAGGGGAATCCTGTGGAAGAGGGAGGGAGGAGGGATTGTAGGAGCCAGAGGGGTCAAGAACACCACGAGAAATCTCACAGAATCAAGCAACCAAGGCTCATAGGGGCTCACGGAGACGGAGCCAACAACCAGGGAGCCTGTAAGGGTCTGACCTGGACCCTCTGCATATATATTATGGTTGCATAGCTTGGTGTTCTTGTGGTATTCCACCTCCAGGCAAGGTTTCTCTTCGTAACAGCCCCAGCTGTCCTGGAACTAGCTCTGTAAATCTGGTTGGTCTTGAACTCACAGAGATCCATCCACCTGCCTCTGTCTCCCGAGTGCTGGGGGAAATGTTTCTGAAGCCTGATAAGCCACTCCCCTGATGCAGCCATCCAAATCAGACCAAATCAAACCAAATTAGAAAAAAAAGCCCACATTTAATGGGTAAAAAG